AATAATAATAATAATAAGTAGTAGTGTCATAAACAGTATTATTTCAGGAAAACAATGTGAACCCCAATACTGGAAAAGAACACGATACACTACCCAAGAAACCAATAATGGTACTTGTAGGACAAGCTTTCCAAATTTAGAGCAAACAGTAAAACATACCCCTTCCAAAAAACAAACAAAAAAAGATGAGTGTACAGTAATATGTAACAACTGCCGTATTTGTGAGATGAGCTTCTGCATTTGTGGAACAACTTCCATGGAAATGCATTTGCAGCAGCCACATACTGCTATTTGTACAATCTTGGCCTAAATCAGGGTGACTGGTTTTTCTCTTGCTTTGACTTCTTCAGTTGTGATTGGTCACAGTAGCTTTTACTTTTGTATTCTGCAGCCACAGAGAATGCAAAAACAGACCTCACCAACGCATTCTGACACTAGGATGCTAGCTCACATTAACTGTTAAAATGAACTGGCAAATCTTAACAAATATGTGACCAAATAATATAGCTATAAAGTAATGCCTACAGTAATTTTTATTGAAATTTGCATAGCAGAGCTGAGCAAATAGCAGTTGTTCACAAGATGCAGAAAGCTTTCCTTATGTTACACACAATTCCTATAAAACTGCCCAAATGGCAAAATATAACCTTATATAGACTTACAGCACATATTCTGCAAGAAGTGCATTAGTATAATGATTGAAGCTGAAAACAGTGTTAATTTTCCAGCAGAAATGGAGCTGGGAAATCTAAATGTTGGCAACATATCCACAAGTCTGGACTTCTAAAAACTTACCATTACACAGCTACCCAGGCTGAGGTGTTGGAGTTCTGAACAGAAGTTCAGAATGCTGAGTAGTGCTGTTTGCTGCCATCGGGGAACACATCAGAAGCAAATATAGAAAGCAAACACAAAGAGAAAGGGTCAATTAGACATTAAAGGCTGTCATCACTTTCCCTGAAATTTGACTCAAAACCTAGGTAACAGACACCACAAATGCCATTTAATGAGTCCCCAGATGCTCTAACCATTGATTGGCTTAGAGTCAAGGTAATCATTGCAAGCCTTTATATAATAAGTCACTCTGGATGTGGTTTTGCATGCCCTGAAGACACCTTTATTCCCATGACCTATCAGTACTTTTCCCTCAGGAGAACTCTTAGAAGTCTGGTAAGTTCAAATAACAAGCAAGGCCAAACCAAAAACACAGAGGGCTAGTGACATCCCAGAAAAGTGCAGCATCTCTGACATTCAGAGATCGGCTACAGTCTGATGGAACTGCCAATAGAGTCACACAGCATCAGGATCGAGCTGGTGACTTTAATGTCACTGGATGCTCTTGCTGACAACGATACTGACAATCATTGAGCACCTGTCACTGGTAACATGCAGAGGCAAACAAATATAATGTGCACTCTACAGTCATGTTGCTGCCATTTTAAGCATGTTCGCAGGGAAGTGCCCCAACATAAAAAAAAAAACCCAACTGACTACAAGAATATCAAACGCACTTTGAAAAACAGCCATTCTTTTGCAGGGAAGATTTGATTTAAATCAAGTCAATTTAAATCATGACTTAAAATCATGGTTTAAATCACTACTCAGTAATACTCAATTTAAACCATCATTTTAAAATGTAAAGACTCACTCTTGCTGATATAATCTTTAATAATCTTTAATATTTGCAACCAGATGAAGATTTCATATTTAGAATAATAACCTGTCAGATTAGTAACATAGCTATATCAGAATAGATTTTAGTTTTATAGATTAATCACTCATATTTGGAGAACTACTTAAATTGTTTTATTTAACTAAAACAGTAACATTATATAGCGTGTACATATTCTTGTATTTGCTTAAACATCTATGTGTTCGTTGTTTGTACACAGATTTGCAGAACAACAATGGGATTAAGGTATCTTCCTGAACTTTGTTCATTTTATACCATTTTTACTGTGTAAAAATGCATGTTATCTCAGCTTTGAACACTTGGAATAACTGAATTAGTTTACCAAAAGCTATTTCAGGCTGAATAACATTTCAACAATAATGTAACTTAAATAGAAAACTATCTTTAGACAGATATTTTTTGTCCAAAAGCATTTCATTAAAGTATGAAAATGAATCTGATTTTAAAAAATCTGATTTTAATTTTAAAAATCGAATGAAAAAATAATTTAAAAATAATCAATTTTAATCCATCCTGTTTTTCAGGCTGTGACAAATAATCATCTACACAAACATTTTGAATCAGATATTTGCCTTCCTGAAATTTTTCCCCCTGCATTGCTACTATTTTTGGACATATGGCACAATCCTAAATATGTCTACTCAGAAGGAAGTGCCATTGAATTCAACAGATTTCTCATCTGTGGATACAGGACAGCTTCTGTGTGACTTTTGGGTTAAAAACATGCTGGGGGGAGGGGAATAATAATTGAATACAAACGTAAATGCCTTTCTTGTATTATGTATAAAAACAAATTTTCTATTTGTTATTTTTGTGGTAGCATGAAATGTTCACATATATTCAACTAATTTTTAATATTTATACAAGTTTGAAAGCACCTTGGGTATTTTAAAGGATGTTTACTAAATATAAAGACAAACTGAAAAACACACACACCTCTGAATACGTCTTATTTGCACACTTTAACCATCTCCTGTTTCAGCCTTAAACATCTCAGCTGCTATAACTTGCGTCAATCCAGATTTAAAGCATTATACATGACGTGCTATAGCTATTTACTCTTTGAAAATGTAGAGATAACTGAAAACCTTGATAGAAGCTACACCACAATTCACAATTTCTGCAAACAGCAACTGAACTTCAGAATTCAAACATATGTTTCACAACCTCTTTACTACTGCAGTCTTTATGGATGATCAATTATTATTGATTATTAATGACACAAATAGGTCCTAATTGGGTTTAATTTACAGACATGATGAGTGAATAGTTTTAATCTCCAGAGTATACTTCTTAAAAAGTGTAAGGATAAAGAGAGAATAGGAGGGAAAAGGCAGAAACCGCTACACAAGTCTATTTAATAATGAAAGGTTTTCCTCTTCAGTCTGTTACTGTAATGAAACATTCTAAGCAGGAGGCTGGCCTCTCTCCTGGCTCAAATGTTCAGATTAACCTTTTCCTCTGAATGCCTGGATAGAGCTGTGGCCTCACTTGTCTTCTGCATCCTTTCCAGATGGGTAAAGCAGCCATTCTCAACATTTTATTTATTTTTGGCCATAGCCATAAACACAATATGAAAGAAATATAGGCTGAATCAGGATCGTATAAGTTGCATAATCAATCTTATAAGGTGGTATGTGAAGAATACTCTGTGGTCCCCTTCAAATAGACCAGACCCCCGTTGAGAACAGCTGGGTAAAAGAATTACACAACAGTTTCTTGGCTGTATTTTTTCAACTTTTTAATGCTTACAATAGCTTTGTTTTAGAAAGCCTTATGTTGATTTGAATGTACAGACTTGAAAGGAAAGGTAGGCCGACAAACTTTGAGGACAAAGAAAAACGGATGTATAAAAGAGATGGGCAATTAGTAAATAGGCTAGGTCTCATTAACGCTCTGCAATGGAGTAGGCAGGTCCTCAAGGGTACGGAGCCGTTTTCATGAACCAGCCCCTTAATATGAAACTGGAAATGGCTAGCAGGTCACTTCCATTTTAGAAAACTACTTCTGGTTGGGAACTATTTTCTGCTAGAAACAGTTGGGAACCACTGCAACTTGCTATCAAGAAGTGATTATCTAAAAACAGATGATTTCCTGCATCTTGGTTTTGGAATACATTACAGTGGTGCCTCGCATAGCGAGGTTAATCCGTTCCAGATTAACCTTCGCTATGCTGAAGCATCGCTGAACGGGGCAGCGATTTCCATTGGAACGCATTAAACATCATTTAATGCGTTCCAAATAGGCCAAATACTCACCGTTCAGCGAAGCTTCAGGATGGCCGGCAGCCATTTTCGCGCCCTCGCCTCACTTAACGAGGGCGCGAAAATGCTGCGCGCGGCCATTTTGGGCCATTTCCCGGCTTCCGGCGGCCATTTTGGCCGCCGAACAGCTGATCGTCGGGGTTCGTTTTGCGAAGATCGGTAAGCGAAATGCTTACCGGTCTTCGCAAAGCGAATTTTTCCCCATTAAAAAAACATTGAGCGATCGCATTAGCGATCCGAAAAAACGGATCGCTATGCGATTTCATCGTTATACGGTGCGCTCGTTAAGCGAGGCACCACTGTATTATATTTTATGAAGGAAAATGACAATTTGATTGTTGAAGGAGAGGAAACAGCATCTTCCAAAAGGCATTTGTTTGCAGAATGCAATCTGTTTAACGTGTGTAAATTAAATGATTAACAAAGCAGAGATCAAGATAAAATTATTTTGTCATACATATGGATTACATCTAGCAGGATTCCTACGGGACATCTAGTAGTAGTTTGAGTAACACAAACTAGTAAAACAATAGCCACAATACCAGAAATGAAGAAGTTTAGCATAAACGTATCAAAACAAGGAACAGAACCGTTTTAGCAGTTAAAAACTATATTTAATTATTATATCATGAAGTTTTTTTTCTGATATTTGTAAACACAAATGTTTCAAAATAAAGGGATCACTATATTCTATTCTGCTTTTTTGTCTTTAATATGTGTTTACTATGAGCTTGAAATATTACTATAAAATCAATTTTTACCAAATATAATCATCACAGATAAAAGAGAGGGAAAATAGTTGTTCCTACCTCTATTTTTGTTCGATAAAGAATTAGACGTGTAAGTTTGTACAATTTGGCAATGTGGTTGAAAGCCTGAGGTGGCAGCTTATCACAGGAGGAGAGATTTAATTCCTGAAGATTCAGACATGTCTCAGCAATAACCTCCAAGCAAGTCTCATTGAGGAAATGGCCACAAGACAACTCCAGGCGTACTAATTCTGAACCACAAACCTTCAGGAACCTGGAAAAAGGATGTTCTCGTGTGAATTAATTCAGCAAGCGTCCTTGGCTAAAATAGCTTATAAAAAGTGGGCAAAATGTAGAAATTCCTCTGCCATATATTAGTACTACAGGAGCAAAGTTAAGAATGCCTCATTACTATATCAACAGCTTAACACACCTTGCAAATATCATAATACCTAAACTAGCATAGTGTATTTTATATATTATAAATTTAGGGGACGTGGTGGCGCTGCGGGCTAAACCGCAGAAGCCTGTGCTGCAGGGTCAGAAGACCAAGCAGTCGTAAGATCAAATCCACGCAATGGAGTGAGCTCCCGTCGCTTGTCCCAGCTCCTGCCAACCTAGCGGTTCGAAAGCATGCAAATGCAAGTAGATAAATAGGGACCACTCAGTGGGAAGGTAACAGCATTCCGTGTCTAAGTCGCACTGGCCATGTGACCACGGAAGATTGTCTTCGGACAAAACGCTGGCTCTATGGCTTGGAAACGGGGATGAGCATCGCCCCCTAGAGTCGAACACGACTGGACAAAAATTGTCAAAGGGAACCTTTACCTTTACCTATAAATTTAGGACAAAGTAGTGCTGCATTGTATGCATTTAAAGGAAATCCAACAGTAATTTCCAATAGTATGCTTCTACAAACCATCATTGTCATCATCGTCATAATAACTACATGATGATTTATATTTGTTTTATGGTAATTGGTACACTGAAGTGTCTTATCTATGGTCAATTTGTAATTCATGAAGCATTGGAAAGATGGGGACTCATATATCTCCATAGCAGAATATTTGGTTGTGTCTACATATTTGTATTGTCAAGTTGAAAAGGGTTGGAGAGACTGAGGAGGAGAGGGGAAGGGAGAAAAGCTGCTCTTCCAAAACAGAAAATGTGATATTTGCAACTGCCCCCCCTTCACTGAAAAGTCCGAGTAAAAGAAGGAAACTGGAGACCAATTAATTAGAATCAGCATTAAAAAGGCACAGACAAGCAGTTCAAGTCAAAAATTTATCTTAAGATAGTTGGGTCTTAACCATTATCTCTGTTACACATCATGGTATAGAGTTTTTAATATGTCTTTCAAGCTAAGCAAGATTTACATATAATGAAAACAAGAGAATACTAAGGTGTCACAGAAAAAACAGCTAAAGTGACATCACTGAAAGTACTTAGTAGTTTTATAGTTTGGGGGGGGAGGAGAAAAAATGATATTTTAATAGATATTCAGCTGGCCAATAGTAAAATCCATTACAGTGGTGCCCCGCATAGCGACGTTAATCCGTTCCGGATTAATCGTCACTATCAGGAAACATCGCAATGCAGGTGGGAAAACCCCATAGACACGCGTTCCTATGGGGTGAAAACTCACCGTTATGCGAAGATCCTCCATAGCGCTGCCATTTTCGCGCCCTTGATAAGCAAGGAAATCGTGTGTAAATGTTTGCGGTGGCCATTTTGGAACCGCCGATCAGCTGGCCGAAAATGGGGCTGGCGCTCAGGCAGGAGGGCGGGGGAAGGTTCCACTTTGGCAAAGGAGAAAAGTTAGGTTACAAAATTTGTGGATGTTGAATCCCTCCCCATGGCTCATACCAGCTTGGAGTTGGAAGTTAATATAGGGCAGAAGAGGACATGCTTTGGTCTCAAGTGTCATATGCAGCAGTAGGTGACTGGAGCAGTGGGTTTTGCTTGGAGGGACACACTCCACTCCCCCAATAATCCTCCTTCCCAGCATGTGGCAACTTGAGTACAGACATGGGCTATGAGCTGATATGTGATACATAAGAATCAGTACAGGATCATTCCCATGCAGTAGATCTCATCCAAATCACCTCTGTGGCTGCTTTTTAAAGAGAGGGGGAATCCTTTGGAACTCAGTGTTTATTTTGACCATAAAATGAAGCTATTCTATGAAGCTTTTCATGCATTTGATACATAGACGCTGTCTAGAGGGGCGGGGTAAAAATCGAATGAATGAATGAAAAATGAACGCACAAACAAACAAACAAACAAACAAACAAATAAATAACGGTAGTTTCACAGTCTGGTTTCTTCTGCTGCTAGTTACAGTACCACATTTTCCCACACTAGACAGAGCTAGGAAATTAGAACATACAAGGACATGAATATCTCAACTTTTAAAGAACTGGTTCCCAAACTAGGAGGGGACAAGCCCCTGTAGTGGGGCATGAAGAAATTTCAAGGGAGGATATTAGATCAATATTTTCAGAAAGACATTTTAAATCAGATTTAACAAAATTCTGTGATATATATTACTACTATATCTCAAGAACAGCTACTGCTTCTTATTTTTAATCTAAACAAAATTAATTTTTTGTGTTTATTTTTCGTGTCAAATTACACATTCATTCTTTTATGACAAGGGAGTCAACTGATGGTGAAGGAGAAGTGGGGAGGCAAGATGATTTCGCAAGCATAAGAAAAGGAGTGTGAAGCTGAAAGGTCTGGGAACCACTGTTTTAAAACCAGGATACTTACACCTGAAACAGATCATAATAACTTGAATTTATTTTTGAATTATCTCAAAAAAACCCACTACTGGGGAAGAACAGTTTTTTAAAAAGTGCTACAATATTTTCAGTTTAATTACAGATTAGCAATTTTAGTTCAGAGATGGAACTAAAAGCCAAAAAGCTCCAGGTTTAGGCATCACATAATTTAACATACAATTTTTTTAAATGTAAAAAGTAGATTGTAGAGGGCTATTTTATAAGGTAACAACTGAAATTCTGTTTCACAACTCCACCAAGCATAAATGATGATTATGTCATCAACCCTTATTTTATTTTAATCTAAAACGTCTTCTCTCTCTCTCTCACTCACACTCTCTCGTAATAATAGGAAACACTCCATTTCTTTTTTAATCAGGGGGATGCTTCCCTTTCACTTTGGCTGGGAGTTCCAACAAAAACCTATTTATGTGCTGCTGTTATGTGCTATCAAGTCACTTCTAACTCACAATGACCCCAAAAAGGTCTTATCATTAACCACCCTGCACAACTCTTGCAAACTCAAGGGTGCGGCTTCCTTTAGTATCAATTCATCTCATATGTGGTCTTCCTCTTCTCCTGTCGCCTTCAACTTTTCCTAGCATTATTGCATTTTCAGTCAGATCTTCTCATGATACACCAAAGTGCAATAGCCTCAGTTTTATTATTTCTGTTTCTAGAAATCCAGGCTTGATTTGAGCCAGTACCCATTTATTTGTCTTTCTGGTGTTTCTTGGTATCCACCTCCAACACTACATTTAAAATGAGTCAATTCTTTTCCTGTCAGATTTATCACTGTCCAGCTTTCACATTCATGCATATCAATCAGAAATACCATCATGTAGATGATCTTCACCTTGGTCTCAATCTTTTCTAGTTCCTTTCTAGTCTCACTCTTCTTCTGAGTTCTTGGCTGCAGTGTCCATTTGGATTGATGACTGAATCATGGTACAGAAAATAACTGACAATTTCAATTTATCCATTGTCAACATTAAAGTTAATATAATTTCTTTTGTAGATATGATTAAACTTCCCTTTGGTTACTTGGATTCTGTAGAAGAGATCTCTTGTTTTCCCTCTTTTGTTGTTCTTTTCTATTTATCTGCACTGATTATAATAGTTATCCTTGTCTCTATGTGACCCTATTTCTATCACCTCTTACTTTTGATTCTTGTTGTCCTTATCTATTTTGAGTTTCACTGGTCACCCACATAGGCTTCTCTTTTGACAAAAGGAATTGTCTTTTTGCCTTCTTTCCAGATATTATCTCTGGCTTCCATTCAAAGTTTTTCTGGTTCACAGTCAAATCTGTAAGTATTTCTCTGCAATGCTTGACTTACATTGGCCAAATGAGAAAAATATAACAGCACCAAGAAAAAAAAAATTGTTAAGTTTTGATGTAATTACAACCTTGTGTTCTGTGCCATCAAGACAATTTCAAATTAAAGCAACCCCAGTATTGTTTCTAAGGTATGTGATATATTTAAGGTGTGGTTTCAGCAGTTCCACAGCACAGCAAATTCTCATGGCTTAGCAGGGATTTGAATTTAGGTATCCTGAGTCCCAGGCCAACACTCTATCCATTATGCTATACTGTACTAGCTCTCATATTTATAGTTTAGAATGCTGCTAATAATAGATATGAAGAAATCTTGATTTTTAAGGGAGCAATTTAATTTTAATGCACACATACCATGTCTTGCTCCCAAAGCATTTAAATAGAATACCCTGCTGCAGCACAAATCTTGTTCTTCTACTTTTCAAGCAGTGTGAAAATACTAATGTTTCACTGATGATACCAAAGCAGAATTTTCATAATGTAATTATGCACCTTGTTTAATCATATGTCATACTTTCATTAACAAAGTAGTTTTAAATGGTTCAAATATATTCTATGAATATCTTTGACTTATAGTCCTATCTAGCATTTCCCAGACTCCCTTTTAGCTCAAGCATAGAAGTTTAGCAAACTTAGTAATACTTATAACTGAAACATCGTGGCATTCTTATTTAGCCCTAAGGTAATGGACATTATCAATAAGTTAAATTACCTTCAGCTTTGCCTCAGGATGTTCACATGCCTGAAGCATTTTGCCCTCTCATGATAATATATTGTTTACTTGCTAGATTTCTTAGATCACTATTCTAATTTGTTCTGTTTCCTTGGAGTTCTTATATAGTCTACTGATACTTACCTATTCAGAGACACAACCAAATAACTAGTTATCCACATAATTTTAAATAGACATTACAAAACTAAATTACTTAATTATCATGCATGTTTTGAAGTGGGGGTACTTCAAAACATGCATGATAATTAAGTAATGCAACCCGAAAACTAAAATCCGGAGCACCTTACTAATTGGCAGACAGACTTCAATAACATTTAGTAAAGCATGTTGTGGACTGCAACAAATATTACAATATTATCTGGCAGAAAATTATTTATAAACAATTCTCTAGAGCAGGGGTCCCCAACCCCTGGTCCATGGCCTGGTGCCGATCCGTGGCCTGGGCCGGACCGCGGAGACAGTTCTCCCACCCCTCCGGCATGCACTCTCCACGCACAGCCCTTTCGCACATGTGCGTGAGTCCCTCCACCCCTTCGTGCATGCACGTTGAGTGCCCCCAAGCACCCCCCGCCGTTTGCGCATTCAGGTGAGTGTGCATGCGCTAGCACAAGTGCCCCCGCTCCTTTGCATGCACCGTACTGCACGAGTGTGAACATGGGGTGGTGCCCTGCCTTCCCCAACCAGTCCGCAGTGTCAAAACAGTTGGGAACCACTGCTCTAGAGGGCAAACCACATGCCTCAGTTATTAGATGCACACCTTGCTAATGTATTAATAGATTAAGAAAAGCAATAGCACTTTAAAATAATAGAGTACAACTAAATGTAGTTCAGTCTTCCACTCCTTCCAGAATTTTCACCCATTATTAAGTATGAAAGAATTAGTATTTTCAGCAGTTCCTTTCTTTGACAGTTTTGTAAATGTGCAAAATGAGCCACAATTAAACTTGATATAGTTGTTTATATGTTTTAACAATCATGATTTTTTAATCACAGTTAAGTTTTGTGATCATTACATCTGTTTTAGTCTGGTGACAGGTTATTTCTACTTTTCATCCCACAATGCTATAAAAATATTTCATGGTCACAAACTCATACTATAATATTGTATAGAATATGGGGCATTTTGTATGATATACAGAACATGTGTAAAAAAATCTATAAATCCATAATATCTAAACATCTGTTTTAAAAAACAGAGTTGAAATATGGGCAGAAGTGGGCATGTTCAAACTTTGCTCAATCCAAAATCTGGCACCAACAATTACAATACTATTAGTGCAAGATCTCCTTGCAAGTTTCGCAGCCAGTAGTTTCATATCTAAAGATAAAGCAAAGCCTGTAGTTTCACACTACCAAGCCAATGTTGAGGATGTGGATTTACTTAACTGACAGGGACGTGAACTAGATTACCATTAAGACCTCTCTCCTCTTTACAATAGTATAATTCTGAAATTTTAAATATTCTTAAATGTAGCCCACTTTTTTCTGCTTAAAGCAAAGTGTGCATTAGAGATGTCCAGTGGTTAAATTGCGTTGCGACTGAGATTAAAAGGGATATGTGAAAGAAATTCACAGAGTACATTGTTCTTAGAGAACACTCACCTGCTATCCTGTTTAAATATGGCATTAGCTGCCAAAGCCCATCACTATTCAGCAATTAGGGTAGGAATGGAGAAGGAATAGAAGAAACTAGAGAACAAAAACTCCCACCCAAAAGGAATAAAGTATACCAAAATGTCAGTTACTAAAAATATCTGCCCTATACCACCTCAGCAACTGGCTTTTCTGCTTCTTGGAGTTTGGAAACTTAAATGTTAAGACAAATGAATACAAGGACATGTTGAAGCCATTAATGATTAAGCAACATGGTAGGATGCTTCTTCTTCATTGCTCCCAGAACACTGTCCTACTGTAATGTTTCAAAATCTGCAATACCATATTTGGAAATCTGTTTCTCAGTTTGCATTACTATTCATGGATTGGGCCCATTCTAGTAAGAAAGAAAACAATCATCTTTCCCAGAGGCCTCCTACAATGGGATATGAGGGTAGAATCATCCCCTAATACTTAGTACAACAGGTTTTTTTTGTTGTTTTGTTTTTGTTGGGTTTTTTTGTTTTACCATACTGACCTGCTAAAAGCAGAAAGAGAAATGGTTCCTCTGTTTCCAGTCCAGGATAAATTCAGCCACTGGACAAGAGTACAGCGGGGCTGTAGGTATTCCAGGGCTGTGTCATTTATTCTTGCCCAGTAAGGTTGCAAACTAAGGTGAATATACTGCAGGGGATCACAGCAATGTTGATACAATAGTTTACACGTCTGCGATAGTCGACACAGATCTGGAACTGTGAGATGACTCAAAATCAACTGGATAAGCTGAATAGAAAACACAAAAGAACAGATCAAATTAACAGTTATCGAATGTTTAAAAGGTAATTCTCATTCCAGCTAAGTTAGCTATACCATAGATCCTTTACCATTCCATTCCAGTTATTTATTTCACTGACATTTTAAAAAATGAGTACACTTTAGGAGGACAGTTTTTCCATTCCTGGTTATTCTGCTAGATGCTTAATTTTCTCTGCTTCCTTTTCCATGTTTATAAAAAGCCCATGCTCATTGCTTTTCTATCTTTACATTGTTGTTTTTTTATGTACTGTTAAATTAAAAATGTATCCACTTTGTTTCAAGTGTAAATAATCATTTGAGTCTTCTTGCATGTGTACAGCTTCTCTGACTTGTACAATCAAAATCAGAGTGCATTCTTTTTAGATCACGATCATTATTGGACATGAGCCAAGTGAAGTACTTCAGATAATTTCAACAGGAGAGAAAAATTCATGCTTTAACATAACGCAAAATAAAATACACTGAACTTAATGGGGCTTGATTTTAGCCCCATAAAAAACAAATGCATAATTACTCATCTGCTTCTGCTCTGAATATGACCACCTGATCTCTTTAGTACATCCACATAGCCAAAAGAGGGCTCATGTATAATATCTAAAGCACTTATTCCATGCTGACACATATTTCTAAAAAAACCAAGTTTGTCAGCCGACATACAGCCAAGATCAAAATTTGTGTTTCCTGGTTAGCTGCAACTGTAGAAATGAAAAGGATTAGTTTATAGAGGTTGTTATATGATGTGAAAAGCCTAACGGACTGAGAAAGCATTTTCATATTCTGATAAGCAAACAGCAACACAGAAGCTGCAGGATTACAGACTGGCTTACTTAACTATGGCACAAATAGAAATATGAACTGCTCCTACATTGCTCGTGGGCTACAATCTGCTAAATGCCATCAGGGAGGCAACTCTTCTCCTTTCACTTGCTCCAGGACTTTAAACCTTATTAAGGAATGGTTTACAAGATCAAACCACTAGTGGGTTCATTCTTACAAAAATATTATCCAGCTGTAACACTTTGTATGTCACATTATTTGAGAACCAATAAAAAAGCTAGATGAAGAAGCACAAAATGTAGCTTCATAGTGATAATCTTACAATACCCATTACAATGAAGTTTGTATAAGGCACTAAAATTTTAATAAGAAAATAATATCCTTGAAAGACAGCAAATGTTGCTTTTCCTATTTATTATAGCATGGTTAGTAAGACTATAAAAAAACCTCAATAATGTCCCCTTTACCTAATTTTGGTTTTGATATATCTCACAATCTACACAGCACTAACTGTGATTTAAAGATTTTTTTTTTAAAAAAAACTCTTAACATGTCAATGCTACCACTAGAAAAGGTAATCCCATTGTAGACTAAAATTACACTTTATAATACCTGAAATGAAAAGGGGATAATGAAATGTCAGTATTATTATGCCATTAAATTGTTACTGAAGTACTGCCTTGCTTTTGATTAAACAAAGATAACAGGCTCCAAGCCTACAGGCTAACAGTCATTAATCATTAGTAGTTTAGAATCTGGCTCTGACTCTGTCTCTGTATCTCTCTCTCTCTGTATATTCTGTATATATATTCCAGCATAAAATATAATTCGATACTACAGTATCATGAATATGTGAGGGGAAATGATGAGTTCAGGAAGACTCTCAGAATGCTGTTGAATATCTGCTTTTGAAAACTAATCTTATAATATGCAATCTCTTTCAAACCATTGTGGTTATCATGCATTTCTTAAGAAAAAACGGCAGCTGCTGTCCATTTCTTATTTTTTCTTCTTTTAAAACATTCAGTTTACATAAAAGAAAAAGAACCTTGGAGAGATTGTTAAAAATCTAAGACTTGCACAAAAAGTAACAGAAGTAGAATAAGAGTTGTAATAATAAGCAAGGTGCATTATACTCTTAACAGATGGAGGGTTTAGAGTGATAATCCTTTTTCTTTCAAAAACAAAACCCCCAAAACAAAACAAACAAACAAACAAAAACCTTAAAAATCTCAAAATAGTTAGGGTAATTTGAGTAAGATTTGCTTACAATAAATGAATTCTACAAACTGAAGTGGTTTCTTATATAAACAATACAATTTAATGAACAAAACATCCTTATTTTTTAAAGGATTTTGCATAGTCCTGTATGGCAGATGATAAGTTCTGGTTTAGAACCCATCCATGATCAGGAGAAGAAAAAATTACAAAGATTACAGTGGCTATTTTTACAGTGGATTTTATAATCTTGACAAATATTGCCTGGATCTGCCATGAGAAGAATTCATGATGCACTAACACATACAAAGATAACAATACTTTAGAATCATGGACAGATTTCAAAGATGGCACATGAGCCATTGACACTCAACATACGAGAATCCTGAATGATCCCTTACCGCCTGACAAGTTATATCACTTCTTTGAAACAAGAAGCCCACCTTTACCTCATAAGGCAATTTATCAAAGTATCCATTAGTTGTCCATTCTCTGAATCCAGCAATACTAAGCTGCTTATTAAGACTGTCCATATTGCAACTGTCTCTCTCTCCATCTTCCTCCTCCTCAAGATCATTCATATCAATAACTGAAGTGTTAAATGAGAGCACAGGTCTCTCTCTTAAACCATGAAGTACTACTGCATCTAATTCAGTGTAATAATCCAGAAGGGAACTGTTTATTTCCAGACGAATTAGGTTTGTAGGAAAATTTATCTGCTTGATACTAGGTGCAAACTGCCGTGCTTGAGAAGAATTCACATTGGAAGGTGGCTCTGACCAAAGGACTTCCCACCTAAAAAAAAAACAGTATAGACATATTTTAATGCAATTTTAAAAATTAATTGTCAATAAGGTTATAAAAATAAGAAGACCAGGGATTAAGCACATGAATATGCAGCTGATATAAAGTACTTTTAACTCTTCTATTCCACGACATTTAATGAATACCATGTTTCTCTGAAAATAAGACAGGGTTTTATATTAATTTTTGCTCCAAAATGTATTAGGGCTTAATTTCAGCAGATTTTTTTTTTCATGTACAATAATCTACATTTATTCAAATACAATTATGTCATTTTCTTCTGGTTGCTGCACAATGCTGCACAATGGTGGAGGATGGGGTTTCGCTTAACTGGGGCTTCTTTTTGAGGTAGGGTTTATACTGTGAGCATCCTGAAAAATCGTATTAGGACTTATTTTCAGGTTAGGTTTTATTTTTGGGAAAACAGGGTATCTCACAAAAAAGGGTGACAAATTAACATTCACAGACTCCCCAGTGTTTCCTTTTAACATACTACAAGTCATTGGAGAAAACTGTGAATGAGTTCATAGTGAAGATCCATCTCAATAAGATAACATTTAAAGAGATCCTCTAAAGCAGGGGTCTCCAAACCTTTTACCCTGAGGGCCACACCGGCACACTTTCAAGATCTTAGAGGGCTGAAGGAACAGGAGCGTACACATGTCCATACTCCCTGCAGGCGCCTGCATGCATTCACCACCCCTGTGCATGGGGTTAAGGAAATGGGCTGGATAAAATGGCAAGGCAAGCCGGATGTGGCCAGCGGGCCATAGTTTAGAGAACCCTGCTTTAAAGAATTACAGATATTTGGAAGAGGGAATAATGGTTGATACACTGTTATGTGTGTGTGTCAGACATTAGCTAGGAGTGCTCACATTTTGTGGCAATAAATTTTTTTTCTCAATCTGTAATCATGAGATTTGCAATGGCAGCCCTGCTTGTAGAAATTGCTATCCTGAAGACCAACATAACCTATACATTAGCATGTGCTATGTAGATTCAATTTAGACTACCTGAAATTTTGAGAATCTAAATGTTAGGGTGTATTTGTTTAGATTCTCCAAATTTCCAAAAACTGTAGCACAAAGACTCAAATCAACACACCTCCACTTTTCTCTACTTCTCATCTGAGAAGAGCTTTCAGATTACAGGGGTGCCCCGCATAACAAGCGATTCGTTTAACGACGAATCCGCATAGCGATGTTTTTTGCGATCGCAAAAGCGATCGCACTGTGATGTTTCTAATGGCCAAAAATTGCTTTGCGATGATCGGTAAGTGTTTCGCTTACCGATTTCCGCATAGCAATGTGTTTTTTAACAGCTGATCGGCGGTTCCAAAATGGCCGCCGGGTAAAGAAAATGGCCGCCCGCACTGGCAGCGAAAATGGCGGCCGCATGGAGGATTTCCTCATAACACTGAGTTTTTTGCCTATAGGAATGCATTAAACATGTTTTAATGAGTTCCTATGGGCTTTTTTTGCCCCGCATAGTGACGAATCCACATAGCGACGATTTTTGCGGAACGGATTATCGTCGCTATGCAGGGCACCACTGTATTTTATTGGTACCATCAGCTTCTGTGGTCTTCTTGTTTCCTAATGCTTACTGTTGTTGCTATTTTTTAAAAGAAGCTGCCATGGCACTTCCTGAGATTTATAGTTCTTTGGTAAGTGTCCACTATAAAACATAATAGGCAGCAAGACTATGACTCCCACAGCAAACACGATGGCAGCTTCCCCACCTCTTTTTTAATTTTTAATTTTATTTTTACTAATCATCATCATTATTAATAACAACAAAATTAACAGGAAAGAGGATGGCTGGAGAACAGCTGATGGTGCAGGTAAAATTCCCAAAAAGTCCTTCTCTAGGAGGGGTGAAAATTACAGATATGCTGATTTGGATTTAGGAGAATGCATTCTTGGAGAATTCTGGGAACTGAACTCAAAAACACAAAAAGCGTACTCTTTTAATAAATGTTTAAATCTACTGAGATGAAATCTTTTTACCTGATAGCAAAAGAAACCTTCTTTAATTTAGTGTTCTCCAGATGTGTTGATAACAATTCTCGTTTTCCCCAAGTTTAAGCACCAACCACCAATTCTGAGACTGAAATTGACCAATTTTATGAAGATTTACAACACCTTCTAGAACTGACACCAAAGAAAGATTTTCTTCTCATTAAAGTGGACCCTTGACTTACAGAGGGCTCGACTTACTGTACAGCTTTCAAGTTACAGACTCCTCTGGCTGCAAAATTTAGGTTCGACTAGCAGCCAAAGAATCGACTTATAGATCAGAAAAAACCCAAAATGGAACAAAAATGGAACAAAAATGGCCGGTTACGGATTAATCGGTTTTCAATGCATTGTAGGTCAATGGAGACTCGACCTACAGACTTTTCGACCTGCAGCCACCATTCCGTAAGTAGAGGGTCCACTGTATAGGGGATTGGAATGCTAAAGTAGGGAGTTAAGAGATAAAAGGAACAACAGGTAAGTTTGGACTTGGAGATCAAAACGAAGCAATGGCTAATAGAGTTTTGTTAAGAGAACAAGGTGGTCATCACAAACACTCTTTTCCAACAACACAAGAGGCGACTCTATACATGGAAATCACCAGATGGGCAATACTGAAATCATATTGATTATACAGTGGTGCCTCACTTAGCGATGTTAATCCGTGCAGAAAAAATCGCTGCTAAGCGATAACATTGCTAAGCGATATTTAAAAGCCCATAGGAACGCATTAAAACGCGATTAGTGCGTTCCCATGGGCTTAAAATTCACCTTTAAGCGAAGATCCTCCATAGCGCTGCCATTTTTGGTGCCTCTTAAGCAAGGAATCCTTCGTGGTGCCTCTAAAGTGAGGAAACACAGCGGGTGGCCATTTTGAAACCGCCAATCAGCTGTTTAAAAAAGGTTGCTTTGCCATGATCGCTTCCCCGCGATCATCGCAAAGCGAAAAAACCCCATAGGGCCCATCGCAAAGCGATCGCTTTTGCGACTGCAAAAACATAGTCACAAAGCGATTTCTTCGCTAAATTGAGTGATCGCTATGCGAGGCACCACTGTATTCTCTCAGACTGACTATATTCTCTGCAGCCAAAGATGGAGAAGCTCTATACAGTCAGCAAAAACAAGACCTGGAGCTGATTGTGGCTCCGATCATTTTCGCATAGCAAAATTCAAGCTTAAACTGAAGAGAGTAGGAAAAACCACTGGGCTAGTCCGGTATAATCTAAACCACTGGTTCTTAACCTTGGGTTACTCAGGAGTTTTGGACTGCAACTCCCAGCAGCCTTCACCACCAACTGTGCTGGCTGGGGTTTCTGGGAGTTGCAGTTCAAAAACATCCGAGTAACAAAGGTTAAGAACCACTGATCTAAACCAAATCTCCTATGAATACACAGTGGAAGTGAAGAACAGATTTCAGGAACTCGATTTGGTGAACAGAGTGCCTGAAGAACTTTGGATAGAGGCTCGTAACATTGTACAGGAGGCAGCAACTGAAACCATCCTGAAGAAAAGGAAATGGAAGAAAGCAAAGTGGCTGTCCAATGAGGCCTTAGAAATAGCAAGGAAGAGAAGGGAAACAAAGTGCAAGGGAGACAGGGAAAGTTACAGAAAATGGAATGCAGACTTCCAAAGAATAGCAAGGAGAAACAAGAAGGTCTTCTTAAATGAACAATGCAAAGAAATAGAGGAAAATAATAGAAAAACCAGAGATCTGTTCAGGAAAATTGGAGATATTAGAGGAACATTTCGTGCAAAGATTATTATTATTA